TTTACAATTTCATAACTTTAGAGTCGATTTCGACCGCGACAACGATCACTGAATATTGTAGGATCGTATATGCTTCCAATATGTTCATTTGAACCAAATTCATGACCCCATACCAAAACTTTGTATTACCTTTAAGCGGCTTTATCAAATATTGTACTGTAAAATCCCTAATGAAAATGATCTTTTGCAATATCAAGGCACTCGGCCTGTGACCCTTTTCACACAAAGTTCACACAAAGCTACATCTTCTCAAACATTCCAAAACAAATCTAAAAATCTTTAAGCCAGAAATTAGAGAGAGTATGTTGGATTCTCTTGTAATCTTTGATATGATATCAAACGTTTCAAAATATGTTATCACAAAGAATATCTTTTAGAAGAGTTAGATATTTTGTGTTAGTACTAAAACCAGAAAGTAGAAACTAGAATTCTTTCCCTTTCTCCAACTCGTTATTAGTTCTTTCCTTGGTGAAAATCTTGTTCTACACTTGATTTGTCTAAGCGTTGTCTCGAAACAGATTTTTGCGAAGAAAATCTTCCAAAAGATTGGCCTCCATGTACTTGTGATCTGCGGTGTGAGTAAACCAGACGGGGGAAGTCGTAAAATTCTTTTGTTGTGCGCCCCCTCTCCCTTACCCCCTATACAGACAGGGTCCTATGTAATGCGATACCGGTATCTCAAGCCCTTTAATCTCCAGATCCTTTGTCCTGCCGAAATTGGGGAAATTTATGGAAGATTGGGCAGAAATTATCATATCGTCCTTTCGGAACCAGAAGAGCGTTAGCCTCTGTGTTAAAGTTTAGAGTTAATGCCCTTCTTGCTCCAACCAGACGCTATCACTGTGTGCCTGACTAAAGGGTGCAGACAGATGCATGGAGATCAAATGTAAATTTCAAGAAAAGGACAAATTCAAAATGGAGCACACTCGAGTTACGCATGATGAGTTGGGGTAGCTTGAATTTAAGTCTGGAATTTGGGAGAAGAGGGAATATTTAACTTGGTTATTACTTTATTTTCATGTAAACCTTCTGCATGATGATGTCTTTGTTGAAATCAGACCATAAAATTTAACCATTTTATTTCTAAAATTTCCTTTTTGGATTGTCATTTCACAAGAACAAAAATATTGAAATGACCCTTTGATGAATTTATCGTTAATTGTCTGAATATGATAGCAAAAACATTAACCATTGCAAAGGGATTGCCCAAATGACTCTCAAATTCCATATAAAGGATGTCTCCTCACTGAATATGGCAAGGAATGGAAGGAAATATTAATTTAAGGAAGACATACAATACCTGCTTACCGGTAACCATTATATTCTTACAACTTCAAAATCACAGTTTGTTATTTTGAGACATTTATTATATTTTTCAACTTTTATCTGTCTTGTGACTGTACATTAATTTTCAATCAAAAATAGGTAGCATTCATGTAGATGCAGGTCTATTTTCTTATATTTTATTTTTTAAATTCAAACAAGATTGGCACCATTTCTCTTTCATAAATAATGTACTGTTTGCCCTGTTTTAGTGAGGGGAAACAGGAAACAATGAAATATAGTAGTGGATGCTGTACATGAATAATCATTTTTGAAAAATGTACTCAACCTATCATTCTTACAGCTGGAATTAATATCTATGACACATACATTATGTTAATGCAGTTCTCAATTGTTCTCTGTATACCTGTGCAGCATGCATACCCAAGTTGTTATGCTGGTTCCAGGGCCCCATTTCTCATTGCCTTCGCCTTGCTGTATCGTTTTGTGTTGAAAGCCGAAGCTAGTGTTCGTTTAAGCCTTTATGTTTTCGAAGTGTGCTATAATAGTATTTTGTGTACTTATTTTTATTGTGATGTATGTATTTGCATACTTCTGTTGTGGTTACAATTTTCTTTTTTCCCCTTACTTTAGCTTTCAGAAGAAAACAGGGTTTGATATGTCTACCGTTGTATATATTGCAATGGAATATTTTCACAATGTTTTCAAAGTTTTTGCTTTCATCTCTTCTCTTCTCTGAAATTATGTACTTTTTGAAATTGTTCATGCCATTGTGTGAAGTATTTCCAAGCAAGTTTAAAGAAATGTTTGATAAACCAAATTGTTTATATCTTAGCAATTCAATTTCAAGGGCGAGATTACAGTCGGCATACAAAGCTGGTGCTATGCCTGGCAAGCCTTGTACATGACGTATTGCTACCAGTATTTATAAAGAAGCTCTTCTCCTCCACAATTATAGTTAATTGGCCAACTTGGGGGAGGGGGGCACATCAGCCTGTGCCCCTAATCAAAAGGCAACAAATGGGGGGACGAGAATAAAAGGAAAATGTGAAAGAGAGAGAGAGAGAGAGAGAGATAGAAAAAGAAAATAACTTGAAAAGAAAACAAATAATATCTCCTTCGACCAACTCCTACTTTCATTATGTTTATTTATCCTCTTTATTATCCTCTTTTTAAATCATTGTCACATTTTGTCCTTTGTGACGGATATACACCCACCCACTCGATTCCAGGTATCTCCCCCAGCACAGAACAGGCCTCATACTCAACCACCAAATACACTTTAGTATCATGCCTATCATAACACTACCCCGTTTCATTAGATCACCGCTTTGGAGCTATAAGGACTTTAAGTTAAACTCATATACATGTACATACTATAATACAGAGTTAATGCCCTTCCGGTTTCGAACAGACAAAATAATGATCAATTTTCCATCCCGCCAAATAACAGCCAGAAAGGTTAATTACCAAATATAACCTCACTCGAGGGATATTATGCTAATTATTTTGGCTGCACCCTATATATTATAAGTATCCCTGTATTCCGGAGGTAGTGTATGTCATTAGGTGCTGTAATTACGAGAGTATTAGGTGGTGCTCTCGTCTGTTGTCGTTGCTGGAAAGGGATGGAGAGAGAAAGTGGGGTAGAAGCAAGAGTCACATAAATTGATTGGATTATAGTCAACATGGGTGTCATAATTTGGGCCTGCTCTTGTATGGGGATAAGAGAGAGGGAGAGGGAGAGAGAGAGAGAGAGAGAAGACAAAGGGGATCGGTAATTATGGGTGGGATACAGGCTAAATGAGAGAAAGAGATATGGAGAGGGGTGGGGGGGGGGGGTGGGTGGGAGGGGAGGGGAAGAGAGGGAGGGAGGGAGGAAGAAAGTAGTGAAGGGGGAGGGTGTGCTTGAATTGGATTGGGGGGGGGGAGAAGAAGTGGTGTAGAGGCAAGAGTCACTTCAACTGATTGGATTATAGTAAACATGGGTGTCATAATTTGGGCCTGCTCATGTCTGCGGATAAGAGAGGGAGAGGGAGAGAGAGAGAGAAGACAAAGGGGATGGGTAATTATGGGTGGGATACATAGCAAATGAGTGAGAGATGGAGAGGGAAAGAGGGAGGGAGGGAGGAGGGGAGGATAAAGGAGGGGGGGGGGGGTAGAACAAAGCATCATGAAATATATCTAGAGAAAGAAGAAAAGAGATGGAGGGGAAGGGGAAGAGAGGGAGGGGGAATAAAGGAGGACAGGGGAATAGAACAGGAAAGGGGAATAGAGCAAAGTACAGTGAAATATATATAGAGAGAGGGAAAGAGATGGAGGTGGGAGGGGGGGGGGGGTAGAGAACAAAGCACCATGAAATATATCTAGAGAAAGAAGGTAAGAGGGGGTAAATCCACTTTTGAGGAGGGACACATAAAGAGGAGAGAGCCGTGGCAGTAAAAGAGATGTTGGTATGAGAATGAAATAGAGAAAAGTATAGATAAGTGTGGTTAATATGGTTTTACTTATATGTTTTGTGACAGAAGAATGGAAGAACATTAATCATACTATTTCCAAGTGAGAAAGAGACAGATGAAAATGTATGGAAGCAATAATGGTATTAGGAGCTAAGTTTCTTTAGTTTCTTTTAAACCCAAAGATGCAAATTATTATGGTAGTGTATTTTTTCATCGTAAGATAGTATTTTGCTCATACAAATATGAAAAGGCAAAATGGTACAGATTTTTTTTGAGGGGTATTGTGTATTCCAATGATTTTAACTATTAGGTTTCTAATCTTTCTATTCAATGCTTTTGCAAAATTTTAATTTTGTAAAATGTGGAAATGGAAAAAAACAAACTGCATACAAATCCTAAAGAACAATATGTTTCTAGCATACATATATAAATCCCAAAACATATAATAGTAATTTCCATGAATACGACAAAAGTATGGAACTTTGGAAGGAATTTCTAGCCAGGAAAAATCTCTGGAATGTAAAAGCATTCATTAGCATTTAAAAATAGATTAGTGTAATAGAAAAGTAGAAATGGTTAGTTGTTTGATTTGTGCATGTACATGTAGGGTCTAGGTTGTATTATGAATTTCTTGATAATCTGAGAAGGGTAGAAGAAACGCATCAATTTTCATTAGAAAAAATGTAAATTTCATGTGAAATTGTATTGCTTATTTGTATGATGAATAATATCATAGCATTCAGAAGATGTTGTTACAGGCACTTGTTGATAATCTTTGTGGGATCTTTATGGGATGATTATCGGATTGTAGAGAGACAAGATTCTTATAATAGTTTAGAGAATATATTTTTGTTAACAAGGTACATAGCATTGCAAAAATGAATATATATAAATGTATTATGCATGAAACTGATGCATTATTCATAAAGCTAGAATATTGATTAGAGTCAGAGAGGGAGAGCATCTCATTTACATATCAATGGATAATGCTAGTCCCTCGGACCTTTGCTCCTAACCCCCCTCATCACTGAGAGGGAAAAAATGGGTGTGTGGCAGAGAGCAGAGCGCGCCATCCAGCATAATGAGTATACTCTGCTCGGTGCAGTGGAAACATATATGCACACTTACTGAGGTATATATTCACAGTAGCGTGCTGTAGTGCCCTCTGTGTGTGTATACCTGTGTGTGTGTATGCAGTAGTGTCTATGCACGCTACCCCACCCCCACACACATGCTCTAATGCCGCCAATCTGCCTTGCATTGGCCTACACACAGTAGCATTGGTAGTATAGTCAGCGGTGGAGAGGTATATGACTTCTGTATATGTTTCCTATATTCCTGTGGTCGCGGGAGATATATATCCACGGTGGAAGTATATATGTGGTTTGGTTGAGCTGGTGATGCTGGGGATTAATTGAGCTTTGGATAATCTATGAAGGATATCATCAAAGCTTTGAGCTTCAAATTGGAGGATTCCTCGACTTGTGTTACAAGTATTCAGCAGGTTGGCCTGAGGAGCATGTTCATCTGAATAGACTTCGGAATCCACATGTGTTTGGCTTCATACTCTTGTGTTATTGAACACCTCCACGTCTTGCTGAAATCAACAGTCTCCCAAACAAGTGGTTGATCCCATATCCAGCTCTCCTAGAGGTTATTCTTCATCTATCCTGTAAGGCTCTGTCGATACCTTGCAACATCTCGCCCTGGAAACTTGCTGTCTAGTTCTCCTCTCACCGACGCCATGCGATTAGCCCACTTTTGTATCTACATGTAAATTTCGGCTGAGCGCTAATTCCTGTGCAATTATCCTACCTCAACCCCCACCACGGACCTGCAATAGCTGATTAATGTTTGGAATCGGCATCTGTCGTTTGACGAGTGAAGCCTCCTAGAGTCATAGAAAGCAGCCATCTTGGATTTTAATTTCATCAATTAACATACCCACCGTTGTCAAAGTGTCTATTGCGTACTTTCCTCCCCCTCACTGATGTGCAATCTATAACTAAAGTTGTGAATTTCCTCTTTCTCAAACTACCACCTCGTAACTTTGTGAATTGTCCTCGGCCGTGTACATGTGTACGTCATTTGGAGAAATACAAGGAATTTTCGCCATAAAGCATTTGAAATTCTTGTGGATTATTATTACTACATAACTTGCCGGGAGCGGAAAGAAGGACAAAATGACGACCCCGTCCAAATTCAGAAATGTACCAAAGGTAATTATGGATGAGACATGAGAGTGTGACTGTGTGTCTGGTGTTGATGTGTGGTGATAGGCAATGGCGTAGCCTGTGTCCATCCATGGGGGGGGGGGGGGGGGGGGGGGAGGGGGGCAACACATGGGTCATGGCCCTAATGGGGGACACCAGAAATATGATATGGACGATTTACAAGGGAACCATGCTATAGAGTTTAAGGGAGGGTGTACGACAGGCGAACGAGTTGTATCTGCTTTTCACATTGCCTTCTCCTTGCTCATTCTTTCCTTTACTCTCCTCTTTCCCCTATTTTTTAAATATTTGATGGGATGGGGTGAGGTGGGGATGCCCCCCTGTAGCTCGATTTTACCCATACATGTACCTATAATGATCGAGCTAAGGTCAAAGGTTACAAAGATCATCGCATCAAGGTTTCTGAAGCTGTCACAGGCTGTCAATTTCAAGGGCATTGGGCTTTGCAGTTTACAACAGCATTTCTGATGCCCCTTGTTGTTTTACACTTCTGTCAAGCAATTTAGTGTTATTGATGTTGTTGCTTTGTCTTTCATGACTTTTTACACACTGCCCAAAAGTAAAAGCAGCAGTAACGATAGCGCATACGCATTAGAAATCATGTCTTGTGAGACCACCCTCTTGTGAGGGCGCTGGAACAGGAACCGAGTCTTGAACCTGTGAGTCATTGCTCAATGAAAAGACCATTGCCCCTACCACATAGTAATAATAATAACGGTGGCTTCTTATATAGCGCCCATGTCCGTCACCTCCTTACCCTGGCTTTAGCAAGGCTGCCATTACGGCGCTCTAGCATTTCAGGGAGTTAATTCCTGCCAGGTGTGGCAAATGTAGATCAATGTCTTGCCAAAGGACATTAGTGCCGTGGCAGGACTCGAACCGCGGACCTTGTGATCGACATATCCACTCAACCACAAAACCTCTACATGGCGACATGTATCTTACATGTAGCTACATTGTCTATGTACATGTGTACTATTCAAAGGGACCTGCAGGTAACACTCAAGGAAATAAATAGCATAGGCGTCCTACAAATGGCATCATTCAAAACCTCAAGTGTCTCTTGCACAGGCGAATGCCCAGCATGAAACCATCTCAACTCATTAAAGGCCCCATTGACTGCCCATTGAGTTAGCCCCCTATTGTGAGGGAAGGATTACATGGAATCCAGTGTACGGGACTGATAATCTGATTAGCTCCTTGAATTGTGTTACAAGTCAGGCTTTTGATGCCGCAGCCTCTGTGATCCAATTTCCTTGGATTATAAGTCATTTGTCTTGGTGTGGGAGGGTAGTAGTAATGTTTTCATTTTGGTTTTGATTTAACCTGTTGAGTGCTGGATTCTCTGAACCCCATAGGCTTAATACATGACACCATGCCCCAAGGATGTTCTTTGGGAACATATTTATTCAGGATGACAAGATCAGTTGCAGGACTGTTTTGCATCTTGCTCCTGTATTTAAAGATGTTCACTTGTCGATCACTACATAACACTGAGCCAATGGGTATAACGCTCCTGTGTGTACGTCCGCGTGCTGCCCTCTATATACCATTCTTGAGCAACTTTAAGACATTTAGGAGTATACAATCTTAGGGGAAATTTGTAACAGAGAGTGTTTCTGATTGCAAACTTTGAGATGCGAAAAAATTTAGGTAGTGCCAGTGGTCAGTGTTTCAGCTCTGGATAAAACCCTAAATAGTTCCAAAAAAGGAGGTCTGGTAAAAAGAAAAAGTTGGCTTGATTTTAAAAAGAATGTCAGCAAGGAAGTTTCACTCTTCAAAAAGCACATACCGTACTGCAAATTAAAAAAAAATGCCCTGTAAACAAAAAATATTTTGGACTCATTTGCTGTGACAGAAATGCCCCGCTTGAAAATATTATCAGACTCTTTGGTAAACAGGAATAGGGAATGAATGAAGGGGAGATGAGATTAATAATGCAAAATTATTTAATGAAAACGAAAAGGAGAATAACAGGACGAGAGCAAAATCTGAAAATTAAGTAAGGAAGAGAACCATAAGCAAAGGCTCTTTCTTGTCCTTGTAGTAAATTTGGTTGCCAGCCGGGCAACTGGGGCGATTGCTTAGCTTGCCAATGTAATGTTTGTTTGTCGTTTTCAGTGTATTAGAGAAAATCCACATACATGTTGAATAATAATGGCGGTCACATTTATTTTTAGTTGCCACCAGGGCAACAAAGGCAGAACTTTTAGGTTGCCCAGTGGTATTTTCAGTGGTCAGTGGCACCCAGGCAACTGCTGATTTCAAGCCTAAACCAAATCTACTCTGTAGTATGAAGCCATTAGAATATTTATGTGCCTTGTGAGAATGTTCATTGAAAGTGTGAATGTTCACTTCCGTATTTAAATAACTACACATGTAATCTCCTAGCAAATAGGAGGTAATATCCATACAACAAAACTGCTGGTACATTTACTTGTTCCGTATTATTTGCAGGATATAGCTCATAGAATCCTAAACATGCATCTTACATGGACCATGCAGGTGCCATTGCCCTTGGAGGGCAGCCAAAGCCGTCGTCTGATTGCTTAGACCAGAACAGACGAGCGATGCTGGGATTACATCATAAGAAATCAATAGTTAGGACCGAAAGGATCGAGCTCTCTAAACAAAACCATCTGAGTCACCTTAAAATCAATCTAAAATAATGTTAATCCTACATTAGTATTCAGCAAAGGAATTATCTAATGTAGCACATCTTCTCCTTCAAATTAGCAAATCTTTTGTCGACCTTTATTGGGGGTACTATATGGCCAATATTGTTCTAAGAAAAGGTCACATATCTGAGAAAAATGGAAAGCAACTGTCCAAATGTTGTTGGAAAACCAGTTATCCTGGAAACCAAAAATCTTAAATTTTAGACATGTTGCCAATTGAAGGATTTTGGAGCTTATTCTCAGAGTTAAAATCCCTCGGGCATCAGATGCAATATTTTGAAACAAATTGAAATAATATGTGCAAAACATTTCTTTCTGTTTTGTTAAAGGCTCTGAAATCTGAATCATTGCCGTGAACAAACCAAAGCAACAAATCAACATGTACATTATGAAGGGCTTGTGTAAAAAAAGGTCAGCTAACAAATATCATCAGTAGCGTGCTTTAGCCTTTAGCCATAATTTCTGTTAGATTGTCTAGCGACTCTCGCCCATGAATTAGAATTTGTGATTAGATCAATGCCTGTTTCGTATGCACGTTGCATTCCATTTTCTTTCTTGAGAGAGGGAGAAATTTGGCCCAGTTTCCCAAGAGAAATATCATGTTTCATAGTGACCTAGCTATTTGAGTTGGCAGCACATAGCTGGCTTGGATCAAATCTTGAATATTCAATGACATTCGTTCAGCTCTAGTGGGGGTCGTACGAGGTCAAAAAGAAAGAGGTACATTGCAATCCAGATTGTACATGTACCTGTATCTTCATTGTATGGCCTATAGGCCTGCTGTTTTTTTCTGTGCATATGTATCATTTGATTTGATTTGATTTGAAATGGTTTATTGATTAAAAAACATGCATGTACAGGTGTTCATAAACAAATAGGAGCCAAGGGCTGAAACGATTTACACAAGATTGAAAAGAATTACATTAAAGTATAATACATTGAAAATTGGTTCAATCAAATACAAATACAATAATATACAAAATACATACATATTAGGAATAATATTGCACAAACAAAATTAAGAAAGAAATTGAAAAAGACAGAAAGGGAAAGAACAGACAAGATAAAGCTTGAAGTAGTAAAGGGAGAAAACTAACAAACATATAATACATCTCTATTTTCCTTGTTTAAAAAAAGAGCTGATAAAAATATTAAAAAAGCTTTGATCAAAGCAATGAAATACATAAAAATCAATGTGGTGAAATCTTGCTTGTATTGACATTTATTGATATTAAGAAATTTCACAATGAGCTCCCGGATACAAACTTATTATTTCACAATGGCCTTTTCACTGGGGATTCCTTAGCATTCATATACATGTATGTGCTCATATCTGCACATATCTGTTGGTCTACCAATTTAGTTAATACAGCACTTTCATTTTGATTGACAGCCAAGAAAAACAAAAGACGATCGAAAGCGGAAAACCTAGCACTTACAGGTCATTTCTCTTTCCCTTAACACTTCAAAACAAGGAAACTGTTCTCCATTTTTATGGCTTTCACATTTGTGTTTTTGAGGTTTGGGTGGGTGTCTAAAATTAATCACTTCCCATATGCACTGATATAGCTGTCATCCCATTCAAAACCTTGACATTATTTTAAGTAGATGGGACTGTTCTGGACTGTGGGAGGATTAAGCCAGATGTTTTGAATGGGTCATCAAAATAATTCATCCTATTTTGATGATTATGGCAGCTTTTAAAGGTTATGTTATTGGTTTACAATCTGGTCTGTAAATGGCGTTTAGAGGCTTTGATAGACCTCATATTAACTGTATGAATTTTGGGCAAATGCATTTAGATATTGGTGATTAGAAACAGTAGGCCTAGGTAATGACCTAGTGTGGGGGCAGGCGTTGCGGGGGGGGGGGGGGGGCACCGATGTCATGGGGGAGGGGGCACAGATCATACTCAGTATCATCATACTTTTGTAGCCAAAGTAAAGATGGAGCTATTATTGTTTGCTTTACAATGTTGCCTACATGTATATAAATGTGTGGGCAAACAACATAAACATTGTTGTACTGTAAAGGTCTATACAATGTGCATAGAAATACGGAGCCATTCAAGTAATGTAAAGCCACATGTATTAACCATCACCAATCATCATCATCATCATTATCATCATCATTATCATCCATCATTATCATCCATCATCATGACAATCACGCTCATCACATCATCATCATCATAATGCAAATATTGGGCTTACATATACATATACCCTGTTTCTTGAATACCCAGTGTAGACCAATTTGTTTTCTCTTCTGGCCATTCCAAAACTATACTTTGACCTCCAAACAACCTGAACTTGACCAAACTTGACCCTTTCCTGACCTCATGAAGCCACACCTCCCAAACCAAAATACCCAGGAGCTTGACATCCATCAACCTTCTACAAAAATGTAACTACCCTAACACGATAGCAGTGAAGTCTAAATGTCCAAATAAACCACATACAATCTGTGCAATGAATCACTGCTAAGAAGTAACCCGTTCGGACTATATAGAAAATATAAACAAAACTATATGTACATGTACATGTATGAAGAAACTTGTGAAGGATCATCATATACTATAGAGCACAGCCTTAGTACAGACTACAGAATAACATGGTATAAAGAAACGTCATATAGAACAAATGCATTCCTTATTTCAAGATTAGATGTTCTGTTTTCATCTTCACCATACATTTTCCTGGTCTGAAGGGGGACTGGAATACAAGGTTGGGTGGTATTACATGTACATGTATATAAGAACATGAAATTAAATCAGTATGCTCATTATTCTAATCAAGTTTCAGAGAGAGCGAGAGAGAGAAGAATAAAATTGATTTCTTTTTCTTTCTACCAGTGGTAATGATATTGCTATACAAAAGTTTTTGCTCGTCTGAAGAAGGATGGTATGCAACATCAGTTGGTACAGTAGTTAGGAATATGAAAATAAACCACATTCAGTCCGCTCAATAAATCATTGTATAATAATCTGCCCCAGGGCCCAGGGGGATATGGTTCTGCCATTCCTTAGGGCATTCATGGGGAATTTTTTTCTCGAATATCTCCCCCCACCCACCCACCCACCCTCATATTTTTGTTGGTGGTAGATATGGGTAGCGTAGGTAAAAGAGGGTTGGATGAGGCTCAGGTATTATAATAATAGACTTCATTTTGTACCGGTTTCTCATAGAGTTACCCACAGATGAAATTTTTTGTGTTTAATAATGTAGCCTAAAAATGTAAACGATGTATGAACTTTGACTGATGAGAGCCTGAAGGCAATGATGTACACCCCCCCCCCCCCCCCTCCAGTGAGTTAATGCTATTTCTCTATGTACAAAGCAATAATAATTTGTCATGGATTAAGATCATCACACGAATGCCAGAATCATTGCTATGTCGGGCATTCAGTGCATGGTATTGTTAGCTACTGTATGCAGCCTTTGTGAGATTCCTTTTAGAAGGCATACATGTACTACAACATAACACGAAGCTTCCCCTTCGAGCTCATTAAAGTGCAATGACCCTAGCCTGGCCCACTCACCATTGATATATAATGACCCTAGCTTGGCCCCCTCACCATAATATATAAATATGAGGGGTAGGGACTCTGACATGTTCCACCCTGATTCCACTCCATCATGTATTTCATCTGCATCATCTCTCTCGAGACCACAAAAGAATAACCAGGCATGCATGGTAAAGTCATTTAATCGCTACGGCCCTGAGCTTATATGTGGCCTTCATCTCCAAGTATGTGATCTACATGTATTGGCAAAGTTTAGTTGGGAGTTGTTTTTGATTTGTTACTCTGTTCATGACTATAGTTGTAAACTTTCAGTTAATCCGTACCAAAGTAGTTCATATTGCTGATTAAAACTTTTGCTTTTCTGCTGGAATCCAGTCCACATATGTACATGTAGAAAGAGAGAGATAAAGAAAGAAAGAAAGAAAAGAGAGAATGAAAAAAAAGTGAGAAAAGCAAAAAGAGAAAGAAAGAAAAGGAAAGAAAAGAATGGATGGAAATGTGAAAGAAAGAACAACAAGCAAAGAAAACGGAAATCGAAAGAACGTAAAGCCCTCTTCAATATAATCCAGGTGTATGTACTTTCAGAGTACTACTCCTGCTGTCATGGCTGATTGTTAAAAATAGGACTCGCTTTATATGCCTCTAATAATGGAACCCTAACACAATTAGATTCATATTATGACACAGACCTATGATATTCACCCTGGAACCTGTTAAAGCATGCGTGAAGGAAGTAGATGGACTCACCATTTCTCACGTCGGGCCATTGTATAGCTCCGGAGTACGATGTATACAAATCTATTCCAGTCCGCGATGCATGTGCAAAAAGTCCCCTGAAATGAAGACATGCCTGGTAAAACATTAATAATATGCATTGAATTTCTGACAGAGAGGCGGGATGGTGTGAAATGTACATATGGTGTAGGATGTATGTTTCTTTTTATGCTGACTCCAAATGTGACTTTTGAGTTGTGAATTTAATTAACTCCATACACACTGTACATGTACATGTACGTGTACATGTACTACAATCATTTGCATAAATGTTTTAGTGATCAAAAGAGACTTGATGAATACGTTTACAATGCAAGCCTTTACTTATGAAAGTGGAAATGTACAACAAAAATAAGCTTTATGTAGCTTTTTTCAAGATTATTCTTTGAAAATGAAAATTACTTAAGTAAATGTTCTTTTTTCCCCTTCTTTTTTGAGGGGGGTAATAACTTGTATTGTAGAATCCAGGAAAATGAAAATGAAAGAGTGAGGATTTTAATTGTGGAAATAGGTTTTGAAAGGGGAACAGGCTGTTTTTTGCTCTGAGAAGATCGCAAATTTAGAAAATCAGACCACATAAAAATAAAAAAGAAGCCTCTGAGCTTGAAGACACCCTACCATCTCACCCTCTAATCTCTTCCGGCTACCTTCACAACTTTCATGTTTTGACTGAACATGTCACCTTATTCTTGACACATGTTTTGACAAGGAAGGTAGCTTGTAACGCAAGTAACACCGCTTGACATTTTCGCTCGAAAGGGCAATTTTCTGAGCTTCATTCCAATCAAAACATGCATTGCAGATGTGGTTAGAAGTGATTTGCGCATTCAAAACATTCCCAGTGCATTGCTACTTTAGCCTCAATGCATACATGTACAATATATGTAGGCTCTACAAGTACACTGTACAGTTAACTAAATTATTCATATTCTTACCAAGATTTGTAACTGATTAAGTTTGTGAGAAACTGATTTGTTCAGATTTATATTTCTTGAGAATATGATATATTATAAAATCTTACATCTAAATGTATTCAACAATGGCCCTTATTTAACCAGTCCACCTTTCATTCCTGGGTTACCCCCCAAAACACATCAAATTTACAAGGGGTATGAATATTTTAGTCGTTAACTCTACATCTATAATGATGTACGTGTAGTGGTATCTTTAACCCAGATAGTGTATGATGTCATGGAGGAAATATTGGCCAGATGTCGCACGAGGCATGACCATCCCTGACGCCTCATATGTTTATACTACTGTCTCTTGCTGTCCTTCAATCTCCTCTCATTGTCTCTCTCTCATCCTCTCTCTATGTTTCTCTCTTCCTGTCTCTGTCTCTGTCTCTCTCTTCCTCTGTCACTCTCTCTTTTCTCTCCTCATCCCTCTCTCTCTTTCTCTATCTGTCTCTCTCTCATCCTCTCTATGTTTCTCTCTCTCTCTCGCTTTCTCTCTCTTCTCGCCTCGTTCCTCGCCTCGTTCCTCCCCCCTCTCTCTCTCTCTACATGTATGATACATGTATCTTTCTCTCTCTCTCTTTCTTTGCCTTACCCCCCCCCCCCCCACAATGTCTATCAAATTTGTGGTACACCCCCCCCCCCCCCACCCCATCCTTGATGTCTGTACATATCTGGATGCATCTTGCTATCATTGAAACTCCACTCGCTCATCATACAAACATAGCGTCAAGTTGATGCATTGAGTCTGATTTTTCCCATCTGTGGACAAGGACAAGGCCCCTTTCTCTCCCTATCTTTGTTTTCACCCCTCCCCCAAATGTTTATCAAATTTATGGTACAACCCCCCCCCCCCCCCCTTCTCTCTCTCCTTTCCAAACCTATATATCTGTATATGTAAATGTACATGGAGGAATCTTGCTATATCATGGAAACTCCTTTCGCTCATAATACAAACATGGCCCCTAGCTGATGCATGTATGCAGTGTGTGTTTCTCTAGCACCATAAATTGTGATGACTAATACATGGCGAGCTGTCGAGGGAGCTCTCCGAGCGGTGTTTCCAGAATGTTTAATTTTCTTGCCGTGATCCGGAAGGGAAAGGAGCACTTATCCTCCTTAAGTTGGCAACTCCAAGATAATCATGCCTTTGTTGTATTCTGTCAATGAAATTAACAGTTGATTCTTAATTTACCAAAATCTTATATGAGACATTTCAAAAATAAAGTGAATATTGCTTTACTCTGCACTCAGAGCAGTTCATCTAGAATTTTTTTATTTCCAATACTGAGGTCCTTCTAGAGAAGGAGCAATGTACATGTACCCAATGCAAGTTGTTATTCCACTATAATTCTGTCTTTGTTGTTAACAAAAACTTTGACCTTATTTTACGGTTTGTGGGTACTTTGATATCTGCCACGTTGCTCTTGTAATTACCCATAGAAGATCACTAGAAAATAGTTCATTCAAAACTAGTTTGGGGGATGAGTAGCATTATTAGTCTATTTTCAGTCTGTACTATTGTTCTTCTTTATTATAATGTTTGTCCTGAATGCGAGACTTGACTTTCCCTGATGTTATGGACAATCTGTGCAAAGTGGCCCTCTATTATTCCATCGTTTCACTATTTTTCTCACAAACCAAGTCCCAAAGAATAATTTATTAAAGGTTTGTAACCGGGTCAACAAGAAATTAAAGGTATTAGGGTCTGTAAGTGGAGGCTATATCTAGTACCTGGGAATGACCCTAATAGCCTATCCTTGGTAGACTATCATTGACCTTATTATGAGGTCAAGGTCCCTGTGTGGTTGGTTGGTGTGCCTGTGTGACCTGAACTAAGGCCACAGGTGGTTTAATCAGTCAGTGGCCCATCCATAGTCATACCATGGACCCTACTAGAATGGACATCGCACGAGAGAAAGTAGGATCGTTTGATTTATAACACCTGTCAAAAAGCTTTTACTTTCCCCTACACACATTTTACGACCTTCGCGGATTACCGAATGTTTATGCAACGCCCTTTGACCCGATGACGACCGCCGCCGAAGCTCGAAGCCCTCTGTGTACGGAGCAGTGTCAGCTTCCGCAGCAGACGACGATTTTGTCTGTAGACTCAAGTGCATGCATCGAATGATATCCCATCATGCACTGCTATATTCACTTCCTGCATATCTAACGTTCTTCAGTCTTCCATCACATTCTACAGTTTATCCTCGAAAAAACCCGAGAAAAATCCGATATACATTCGATTTTTGGCGAGTTTTGGGGTATTTTTCATACATCATATTATCTGCGGTAAGTTACAAGAAATTTTTGATATTCTTATCGACTTTTAAGGTCGAAAATAACAGTTTGAGCATTGTCGATCTTAATACAGTGATGTGAATTTTTATTCATTGACTGTTACTTGTTATGATGATTATATTCTCAAATGTGTCCACCGATGTCCACTCCTTCAAAATATTTGTTAGAAATTTCCGTTCAAATTAATATAATGAACAAAATGGGCGCTTGATACCACGTTTCCGTTTCGGAGCGCGACATTCGCGACGTGTCTTCGCTGGTGTTGAGCGACAGCAATTTTTAATATGTGGCCCCAACCGTAGCGTTTTGTGTTAGTTCATGACTAAAATTAATAGATCTAGGCCTAACCCTAGCCCTAGGCGGAGCAGCTTTTTAATTTATGTCGGGAGGCTTCACTCTTCATAAAAGTCGATTGAAATGTTCTTCAACTTATGGAAAAGAATCATTAATTTTAATTCTGTCCCAAAAAGCATTGGTATAAAATAAACGTTGTCCTAGTAGTAGTGTCCTTGCTGGCATGGCACAGTCTTGCAAGCAAGTTGCAGTTGCTAGTTGAGTCACAATTTCTGTATTAACTTGTTGCAGTAATCCCAAACACCACATTCATCACAATGAAAGGGATAGTTTTTATGTCCTTTTAATTGTTTTAAATCCCTTTGCCTTATACCTTCTCTTTTTAAAATAATTTGGTCTGAATTGAAAATACATTAGATTTAGCCAGTACCATTTTGATTGTGTGACTTGTTAAAATGTGTAACTGTGTACTAGAAATTTTACTATTTATTGTTACCATCAGTGACACTAGTATTAATTTCTTTAAATGCAGGCTAAATCCATGGAGGATCATCATCATCATGTCAGTGAGCTTGAAAAGCTCTGCAGACTCTGTCGGGCAGCAATCAAAGGGGATAAAAACAGAAAACCATGTCCTAAAGTTGCTTATTCACATATTCTAAGTGCGAGTTGTAGACCTATGATTATGAACAGAGCAGAATTAAAACAAAAAGCCAAAGGTAAACACTTACATTTTAGAACTTGTGCACATCTTGAAAAATGAAGGGAAAACTTCATGAATCTGACACCTGTAATTTGTTTTCATTTAAAAAAATAAATTTGAAAGCAAGCCAGTTTTGTCTACCATAAATGGCTAGCTACTTTGATAAGATCTTTTCAAATCCCCATACATTGAACTAAGACATTTTATTCTTCTTATCATTTGTTGTTTTTCTGACAGACGCACTCAACCATCGAAGCTTGCGGGACATTGACAGACATCACACATCAGTCTCCATTGCATTCCTGGATCAACATTTGCTGGACTCCATGCCTTTGTTCGTTTTAATGGTTATTTATTTGAAGACTCAACCGCAGTTTTGCTTCACGTTGGAACAAACAATCTTGAACGGGAGTTTGGGAGAAGGACGAGAAGGATTTTGTTCAACTTATTCCTTTCAATAAAACAAAAATCTCTGATACTTCCAAAGTTCCAAGGTGGGATTCCGGAGCTTCACACAAACAAAGCATTTATTATATTAATAGAAAACTGACTGAACTGTCACCTTTATACAATTTAACAATACTTAACTCTAATAATACTTTTATTCTCAGCGACACATTTTATGTGTGTGATGGTCTCAACATAAATGTCAAAGTCAGTTTATAAATAAAATATAAATATTAGAAAATGCAAATTGTATTCGTAGTCCTATCACATTTATTATTTGTAGTAGTGTTAAATAATACATTTTTTTGTCCATTTACTAGGCTATTCAGAAGAAACCAGACCTGGTTTTCTTTTGGGTTAGTTGGCATGAATTTTGATTAAGAAATGTGAATTACACAGACCTGTTAAATAATAGCCCCCCCCCCACAAAAGAAAAACAATCTTTTTAAAAGATATATTTTGCAGATTTGTATTTCATCCAGAAATAGTACCTACACAGGGTAAACATAATATAAATAATCAAGCATTGACATATTTTGATATGTTGGTGATGATGGTTGTGATGGTGGTGATGGCGACGGTGGAGATGATGGCTATGGTGATGATGATAATGATGACGGTGATTATGATGATGGCAGTGGTGATGATGTCGGTGGTGATGGCGATCATGATGGATATGGTGATGATAATGATGACGGTGATTATGATGATGGCAGTGGTGATGATGTCGGTGGTGATGGCGATCATGATGGATATGGTGATGATGATGATGATGGTGATTATGATGGCTATGGTGATGATGATAATGATGACAGTGATCATGATGTCGATGATTATCTTGATGGCAATGCTGATGGTGGTGATGATGAGGGTGATTATGATGGCAATGCTGGTCGTTAACGTGATGGTGATGATGGCAATTAATGGCGATGTCGGTGGTGCATGGTGATGATCATGATGACGGTGATTATGATGATTGTGATGCAATGCTAATGGTGGTGATGATGGCTATGGTGATGATGATAATGATTGTGATGGCGATGACGATTGTGATTGTGATAATGATGTTGAAATTAGAATTCTACAAGTTTTATTTGAGCCCTTCAGCCCACCGCACACTTATATTTCTATCCAAGGGTCATATTACACACAAACAAACCCCGAAAATAAATTTCCAGATATATATATATTCCGCAGGTCACTTTAAAACAAAATCAAACAGAAAAGAGAATAAGGGAAAGAATTTTGTAATATTTTATTTCCAGGAATACACATGAACTGGAGTAACGCAATTGACAAAAGAATTATGAAATAAAATATTACCATCATCGAATGTCTGGGAATTACCAAAAGAAATTCCTGTTTAAGGCTCTTCTAATTAGCCCATGGTTTACAAATATAAAAACACATTTCAGAACTTTTACAACCATGAAATTAATAGCAGGGATGGGAACAATCATATTTTTAATATTCAATAACATTGCCCCCCCCCCCCTGAAAGTTTGTATTTACACAAACATACATTTCATAACGAATAATGTGTCTTCTTTGTTAAAATGATATCAAAGCCTGGCCAAAAATAGCCTTTATAGACACCTAAATCCCCTCTTCTGTCCCTAGAGCTGGAATTCTATATTGTACTTGTGTGCGTATCCGTATCCAACTTTGTACTTTCCGTTTACTTCTATAATTATGTAGCGCATGAGTATCGTACACAATAATAAGTATGTGGGGCAATACAAAAGCCTCTACGACCGGGGGTTACGCACACGAGAGTAATTCATGAATATCCTTAATCTCCGTCTATTTTCCGTGCGTGTTCACGTATAGCGCGCAGACTGGTTGGACCGCGAATCGACGCAGAGCTATATATAACGTGGTATCCCCCGGTTGATCTCGCTGCGAAACGCTCGTCGATCGGCCATGTCTTATTTTCCGCCGGAGTCTATTATGCATCAGCTACTACTTTGCTTGTTCCTGACTGGTATTGAGACATACATTGACAGGAAGTATAATATTATGTTAGGAAAATATCTACATTATGTGGTAAGCCAAAATTCAGCGAGATGCACCCCCGATAAAAATGGTTATTTAACGTGTATATCCGACTCTTCAAATATTTTTTTTTGCAAGTTTTTTTTGGGTGTTTTTTTCACATTTTGAAACTTCACTCACTATTTATTGAATAGTACATTATAATGTTTATAGTTCTGGCTCAATATTCATGACGAATTCAATGTCATTAAATGAATCCTGAGCATAGCAGAAAGATGAGAACTGTGCCATGTTTTTGCTTATTACGTATTCATGAGGAGCAAATTCGTGCATACGATATGAATAAATGGAAGCGAATTCGCGCACACTGCGGTCTGACTGTGGGTGACAGTGATTGATGGCGGAGTGAGGCTCTGCACCTGTCACGATTTCCTTCCAAGCGCGAAATTCGAATTTTACGAGGGCTTGTCGGCGGGCGTCATAGTTCAAAGGTTTATTTCGTCCGATGTCCATTCGTAGTAGGGTCCATGGTCATACCATTAGGTATCACAGAAGAGCTGCATTGAGTGGGGACACGCAGAGCTCAACCACGCAAATTCTCTCTTTATCAAGGAAGATTTTCATATCATGGAAAAAATAAATATTATAAAATTATATGTCTCTCGAAAGCTCAGGATTCTGTCTTTCATGTCATGTCATTTTAATCAAAATCCATCAATTACCTACCACACAGTTGCTTGTGATTTACCCTCTAATTCGTACCGTGTCACTTCGTTTGTCACCAATTTGCATCGCTAGTTTTAGCTCAATGCGCTTGAACGCCATTTGTCTTTGAGTTTTAAAAATCCACTGGTCGGAAAGAGCACATCTTAAGCTTTATTTTCATATAAAAAATGATGGGGTATGTTTCAAAAAGATCGTGAAAAATCAGAGTGAAAAGTTTGAAACAATTTTTTTATATTAGAAAAACATATTTTTAATTCAATTTTGATACGAGAAGAAGGAGAATTTACTGGAGAATACGATCATGTAAATATTAAGAATGACCGCAAGATGGTGCTTGAGCGCAAATCCGATGAATACAGCTGTACCCTGACACTATGGACATGACGGACAAAGAAAGCTGACAAAATATACAGTTCCTCAGGTAGACAAAGGAACATCCCTTCACTGCTATTATGTAAAGATGTGTAGAACAGGTAAATATGCATGTAACACCTGTTCTACACATTTTTACACAATAGCAGTGAATGGATGTTCCTTTGTCTACCTGGACTTCTTGAAGAGTTTAGAGCCATTTTCAATTGCCATTTAAAATTAATTTAAATGGATTTGATGGTCCAAACTTACAGAAATAATTAATCTATATATATACCCCAGATATGCCGAAATTCAGCCCCTCTTGATAGACACTATTAAATCTAGCCATGTTTCAAAACCCATGAAAACTTGTTCCGGCGACGCAAAAATAGCCATTTGTCACACGCATCAAAATAATTATCATATAATTATTTGAAAAATTCCACACACAAAAAAAAAAAGGAAGCTGATTCATCAATTAATTACAAAATTATATTACCTTGAAAATGGCTAATTGTCAGTTATAGCCTAATTACGCAAAATTTGACCATTTCGTCTCTTATGTAAGTGGCCGTATTTTCAAAAGTACTTATTCAAATTTGACAAATGAGGTATCAAAATTCTTCTTTTCATGTGCTCAAAAAGGAAATGGGCAGGGGAAGTGAAATTTAGAAACTTTCAAAAGTTAGATGTGATACCTAATACCATGGACCTACACGTACATGTACTGTAGACTGGTTCCTCGGAGAGGACCTTAAGCTGTCGGTCTTCTGGTTGCTTACTAACAAGCATTTATACTTTCTTAGCAGTCAGGTAAAATAACCACTACTACTACTACTTCTACTACATGTACTAACAGTAAACATATTCAAATTTATGGATATTTCTTTCCTGGGGACCTACATGTACATGTAGGCTAGTGACAAGTAATATTCCATTAACCTGATAATGATATTAATGAATGAACTGCAAGTACAATACTTGGAATCCAGTCTTCACACATTAATTGCTGCTTTATTTTATGTCCTCGGGCAAGCTTCTGGGTTGTGAGTTCCCAATATTATTTTTATCAAGTGTAATGCAACAAATTGTACTTCAGTTTTTGTTTGTGTAGGGGTAAAGTGATAAAAAAATGATATTGGAAAGGACCCTCCCCCCCCCCCCCCCCATCACCCCCAATATTACTTTCATCAAATTTAAGGCAAGACCACGTACATACCTTGGAATGTTGTAGTCACCTTTTTGAAGAAATTGAACATCTGTTTTATGACCTTTGACCTACATGAACTCCCATGTCATCAAAATGCAAACATATTCCATTTCAGTTTCCGTTTGTGTAAGAGTAAAGTGATAGGATCATAGAAACAAGATCGTAAAGGATCACATGTAAATGTACAGTATACTTCCTAGTTAGAGTCTAAGGGAAATTATTTGAGAGTAACACTTTCAATTCAGGGCTCTGCATGCTCTAATCCTATATAGGCTTTACCATTTTTGTACCTGTTTGTAATTTTTCCAGGCTACATGTCATCTTTTAGGAAGGTTCATGATTCCAAAATTTCATAATTTTCAAACATTCATGACCTAGAACTTTGTATAAGTTTTCAAAGTTGACACCCATTATTTAAACACATACCGTTAATGTTCATTCATTGTTGGAATTACAAATCTTCAGAATTGAAAACCTTAAAAAAAAACTAGTGCCTCCAATTTGGACATCCAATGCACATGTACACTGAACACACTAATGTCTGAAAATATGTGATCAATTGTTAAAGGTTAACATTTATGTCCAAATCTTGCTCAGTCACATTACTAAGTACCTTGTTCAGTTGAAAGCCTAGAAAAGCCAGCTGTGTTTACTGTTTCTCAAATAGCTTTACACAACTGTTTCCCCAAAAGCACGTCAAATAAACCAACCATTCACAGCCCCCACTAAGAATTGTATGTGTGTAGACACATTTACATGATGTACTTGCAGGTTGCTACAATGTGAGTACTGAATACATCCATGTTATATATCAATTTATAAAGCTCACATTATCTTGTTCAGTTGAAACTTTGCCTAGAAAAGCTGGCTGTGTTTACTGTCTATCAAATAACTTTACACAACTATTTCGCCCAAAGCATGTCAAATAAACGGACCATTCACAACTCCCACTAAAAATTGTA